AGGGGGAAAGGCATAGAAGAGAATGAAGAAAGATGGGATATGTACATGTACCAAGACCCCATGAGGAATACAATCATTATGTATTGCAAATGTGTACTAATAAAAACTAAAGGGGGGCTGGAGAGATGGCTCGGTGGTCTGGGGCACCTACTTGGAGCGGGCTCACTCGGCAGAGCACAGGGGCCGCAGTTCTATCCCCCAGCACCACATGCCAGCCAGCCCTGCCCCCTGGTGGGCTGAGCTGGCCACGCACACGCGCGCGCACGCACACACACACACACACACAATAAATAAATGTAAAAAAAAAAAAAACTAAAGGGGCCCAGGGAGATGGCTCAGTAGAATAAGCACTTGTCTGGCAAGCACGAGGACCTGAGTTCAATCCCTGGTTCTGCCAAAAAATAAATAAATAAAAGGACAGGGGCCAGGGAGATGGCTCATTAGAATAAGCACTTGCCTGACAAGTGCAAGGGCCTGAGTTCAATCCCCTGGTTCTGCCAAAATAAATAAATAAAAATAAAAGGACAAATTATCTGGTCTCTTCAGCAAGTTAATTTTATGAGGAAAAAAATGCAAAAGAGAAATTGTTAGTCGGGCATGATGACACAAATCTGTAACCCCAACACTCAGGAGGCTGAGGCAACAGGATTATTGTGAGTTTGAGACCAGCCTGGGCTACAAGTAGCTCAAGGCCAACCTGAAGTGCACAGTGAGACCCTGTCTCAAAAAGACCAAAACAACGAAAACACAACCGAATTTGTGACCACCCTGGCCTACACAGTTAGAGGCTAGCCTAGAATACATAGAGACTCTCAAAAGAAACCAGAACAGGGCCAGGGATATGGCTCAGGAGCACAGTGCCTGCCTAGCAAGCATGAGGTCATGAGTTTGGCTCCCAATCCGAAAATAAATAAATAAATAAATAATAATACTACAAAGATTTAAGGTACAAATTAAGTATCAAAGAAATGGAAACAACAGATGTACACCTGATATTCAATAAATCTGTCTGAGGAAAGAAATAGAAATGACAACTATTAGTTTGGGCGTTTTGTTATTGTTTTGTTTTGTTTTGTTTTGTTTTGAGGCATCGTCTTACTATGCAGTGCAGGCAGCTTTGAATTCACTTATGTACCCTAGGCTGACCTCAAACCCATAGCCACCTTCCTGCCTCAACCTCCCAGTGCTGGGATCACAGGCATTCACCATTACCATGCCTGGAAGCTACTGGTTTTTTTTTCACTCAATTAGAAAGTGAACTCAAGAATCACAAAGCAGGAATTAAAAGAAAGGGTCACAGAGAGCTAGAAAAGGTTTAAGAAATAGCCATGGAAAATGTAAGGACATGGGGCTGGTGAGATGGCTCAGTGGTCTAAAGCACCTACTTAGAACAAGCTTAACAAAGCACAGGG